GGAAAGATTATATCTCTTGGCTGGCTTGGGAACGCCTTGGTGTTCCCCGAGATAAGCTGGAGGAGGTGGCTGGGGAGAGGGAGCCGGATAAGCGCAAGAAAATGGATGTATAGAATGGATGGGAATAATGACAATTTTGGGATAACGGAGGAGTTTTTGGCCTTCCTAAAGGGGAAAATGGGTGGACAGGACCTGTATGACAGCGTGTTGGGGTCATCGAGAGGCACAAGCTACCTGGGAGTCTGACTTGTCACTGTAATGCCTTTTTAGGCTTCTGTTTGATACAGTATGCATCAGGTGCTGGCCTGTCAAATTTTAAAATGTAATGTGACCCCTTACCTGAAACGTCTGCCCACCCCTGCCTTAAGGCATACGCTAAATTTGTTCTGTATATCATTTATAGTTGTTTCTTTATGGTTACAGAGTTGAAAAAAAGCCAAACCTATAAACAAAAACTGAAACTCACTGAGGAAACACTGGTCACCAAAGCATGACTTTGTTTATATACATATACTGTATATAAAAGATGGACAGACTGGGAAGTCTCACAGTCTGGCTCTCTTCCACAGTTACTCTATTGTCTTGTGTCTTTCCCCTCATTCCCAACCAGTCACAGCAGACGGCTGCCCCTTCTGGTTCTGCTGGAGGCTTCTTCCTCTTTAAAGGGAGTTTTTCCTTCCCACTGTCGCCAAGTGCTTGCTTATAGTGAGTCATCTGAATGCTGGGGTTTTCTCACTATATTTCTTTGTTGATGTGAGTGTTGTTATGATTTGGTGCTATATAAATACAATGAAATAAAACTGAATAAAACTGGATCCACATTCTTTTTAATGGCCAGCAGGGACTGAGTCTTTTAGTTGCAAAATCTTGATGTTTTCACTTGATAGTTGACGTCAGTAAACACTTTCCTGATGAATTTGTGGACTCGATTGGTTGTTTGAAGTCTAATTAAAGAAAACAGTGTTTATTTTGTAAACCACAGTCAACCATTAGAATCAAAAAGGATATTGAAGCAATGTTTGTTTCAGTGCAGCGAAGTAGTTATTGTATGAATGTGTACTCAGTAGGGATGGCAATCGAGAACCTTTCCTGGTTGGAATTATTAGTCTACTTGACTATCGATCCTGCTTATTGGTTCTTACATTTGCTCTGCAATCAGCTGATTTCAGTTGCTGGAGACGGAAAATAGAAGTTTACAGCGTTGAGATGGACACAACTTTTATTTCTACTGCACAAAAGGGCAAGAGCGTAATGGTAAACTGTATCCAGGACAGAAACAACTGTATTATGCTGCTAACACAACTTCGACTCTTTGCAAGCACCTGCACAGACAGCATGCTAATGCTAAGCTAGTCAAAAACCCAGAGTGATGCAGACACCATGGTGAAGCGAGCCGCCGCTGAACTTCATCGCATAACAAACGGATGAGCCGTCAGGCTGCAGCCTTCGTTTCTACCTGAATCACCGTGACGACGGCTTTAAAGTCTCTTCGTGTTGGTTTTCATCTTCGTTTTGTGTTGTCGGCTTTTTGTTCATAACTAAATACATTAGGGGTTTGTGTTGGTGTGGGGGGCTGTAGCCTCAGGTTTATACTGTTAAATGGTAAATATGACACAATGTGTTTCAGGCTGTTTTACAGAGTAAACTGAAAGTAATGTTATAAATGTGATGAATTATCATCTCCCTTTAGTAACCAAGTAACGTACTGCATTACTTTATATTAAAGTGTTATTTGTAGGGATGGGTACC